GCCGACAGCGGCCAACCCTAGGGATCCTAGAGGGGATGGACCGAAGACAGTGACCAAGCCATTTGTCTCGTGCCATCCCTCTCCAGCCTTCCACAAACCTTGGGCAGGGACACCCCCTGGCTAATACCACTCCATGGACACAGCCTCCATGACCTGATCTCACTTCCCTTTAAACTCTGTTCTAGTTGTAGCCTTCACAGCCTCCTGCCGCAAGGAGTTCCACAGGTTGACTCTTTGCTTTGTGAAGAACAACTTTCTGTTACTAGTTTGAAGCCTGCTACCCATTCCTTTCCTTTGGTGTCCTCTAGTCCTTCTATTATGGGAACTAATGAAGAACTTTTCTTGATGCACCCTCTCCACCCCACCCATGCTTTTAGAGACCTCTATCCTGTCCCCCCTCCGTCTCTTCTTTTCTAAGCTGAAAAGTCCCAGTCTCTTTAGCCTCTCTTCATATGGGACCTGTTCCCAATCCCTGATCATTTTAGTTGCTCTCCCCTCTCCCAGCCTCTCTCTTCCCCTCTCCCACCTCCTTTTCCCAGTCTCCCCCAGTTTTGTTCAATAAAGACAGATTCCATTTTGGAAGACACGTTATCTTTATTTTGTACATCAAGAAGAGGGGCTAGAGAAGGGTAAGTGGAAGGAGGTGAGGGAGGAATGGATCACGAGCCCCCGATGGGGAGTTCTGGGCTGGCTCTGCGGGTTTCTGGGGGTGGAAGCTCTCCTGCAGCCCCCCAATAATCCCCTCTCCCCAGATGGCAGCCTGCGGCAAGTGCAGCCAGGCAGATGGCCGAGTGGTGTGATGTGCCCAGTGTGGGTAGTCCGGGCATTCCAAGCCAGGACTACTTTGCAAGCGGGGCACCCCTGAGAACTGTCTGTCCGGGGTGGGGGTCGGGACCCTTTAAGCACAGCCCTCGGCTAGCCTGAGAAAGCATCTCCACGCTCTAAGTCCTTCTCTGATGCCCTGCCGGCACTGCTTCCGGCCATCCTTAAGCCCGGTTCAGGGTCCACTTAATGTGGACATGCTAGTTCGAATTAGCAAAACGCTAATTCGAACTAGTTTTTTAGTATGGATCCGTTAGTTCGAATTAGCTTAGTTCGAATTAACTAATTCGAACTAAGTCAGTTCGAATTAACATTGCAGTGTAGACATACCATAAGGGATCTTTTGGAAAAGGCTTTATTTTCCGAAAGATCCCCGTCTAGACTGGCGCTTTTTGCCGGCAAAGCCCCGAGCCGGAAAAAAGCGACAGCCATGTTCATGCAAATGAAGCGGGGAAGATTTAAATCCCCGCTTCATTTGCAATTGCGCCGTGGCTAATCTGCATCCCTTTTTCGCAAAAGGGGTGCAGTCTAGACACAGCCTTCGAGTACGTCTAGACTACAGGTTTTTGTGGACAGATACTGTCGACAAAGCTTCTATCAACAAAGAGCGTCTAGACTGCATCCAGTTCTGTTGACAAAGTAAGCTGCTTTGTTGACATGAAAGTGTAGATGCAAAGGACAGTGTAGATGCAATAACACCTTCTGTCGACAGAACTCTGTCGACAAAAGACGTTATTCCTCGCAGAATGAGGCTTCTATTTAAAGGGCTTGCACCTTCCCCACAGCTGTCAGGCAATATGCTGCCTGACAGGCACAGGGAAAGTGAGAGCCCTTTAAATGGAAGCAGTTGTGGAAATAGAAAGGGCTTGTGCATCTCTGGCACCCAGGCAACACGTCATGTCTATGTCTAAACTAGCGGCTTCTTGCGCAAGAATATCTTGCGCAAGGGTTCTTCTGCAAGAAGTCTTGCTCAAGAAAACGTCCTCACTGCCATGTGCGAGGTGTGCTTTTGTGCAAGAGCATCCATGGCAGTGTGGACGCTCTCTTGCGCAAGAAAGCTCTGATGGTCATTTTAGCCATACGGCTTCCTTGCACAAGAAACCCCTGCCCAGCGTCCACACTGCCCTCTTGCGCAAGAGCTCCTGCGCAAGAGAGCTTACACCTGTTAGACAAGAGCATAGCTCTTGCGCAAGAAGCCCTCTCTTACCATGCTGTACTGTAAATCTTCTTGCGGAAGAGCAGGCGGGCAGTGTGGATGCTCTGTGGATTTTTGTGCAAGAACAGCTGTACTTGTGCAAGAACCTGCCTGTGTAGACACAGCGTAGGAAGTGGGGCTTGAAACTGCCACGTGGGCCAGATCAAAGCCTTAGGTAGGCCGGGTCCAGCCCACTGAGAGGCTTTTTCCCAACCCCCGTTTAGATGAACCCTGACTACAGGTGCCTTTTCGGAGTACCAGGAAAATGCAACGCTCTTAATCTCCTACTGTCCTTGGTCAGGCTCCAGTCCCGTAAACCCTGAAGTGGGTGCTTCACTGAACTGAAACCAGTGGGACTACTCACTGTAAAAAAAGCTAAGCACCCATGGAAATACAGAGCATTGTTTGTCATTCCTGCAGCCAACTCAGCTAGCCTCTTTCTGACAGGGAGTACACTCAGCCACTGTCTGACTCCTCCCCTTCCACTTCCCCTCTGACTGCCTTATCTAGCCCTCTGGCTAATGAGGCCCACAGCTATTTCCCATTAGACCCTCAAGCATGGGCCTGCTCAGCTGGCCTTAATTGCCCTTTTCAGCCAGGCTGTAGTGGCAGAGCTCTAGCTTCGCTAGCAGGCAGTCACAGTAGTGGCTACGTCTACAATGGCATGATTTTGCACAAATACTTTTAACGGAGAAGTTTTTCTGTTAAAAGTATTTGCGCAAGAGAGCATCTACACTGTCATGTGCTTTTACGCAAAAAATGTGCTTTTGCGCAAAAGCATCCATGCCAGTGTAGACGCTCTCTTGCGCAAGAAAGCTCCGATGGCTATTTTAGCCATCGGGTTTTCTTGCGCAAGAAATTAACGTTTCCTGTCTACACTGGCTTCTTGCGCAAGTAGAGCTTATCCCAGAGCGGGAGCGTCAAGAGTATTTGCGCAAGAAGCACTGATTTTGGACATTACAATGTTAGTGTTCTTGCGCAAATACTCGTGGCCAGTGTAGACAGGTGGCAAGATTTTGTGCAAAAGCAGGCGCTTTTGCTCAAAATCTTGCCAATGTAGACACAGCCAGTATATTTTCAGTGGTAAGCAGCAAATGAAGTTGAAAAGTTTTTTACACAGCCTTAAATACAAAGCTGATACTATCAAACATCATAGAACTTCCTGTTACACGTTAGCAAAGAACTTAGAATTGCTGCTAAGGGCACATAAATTCTTAGGCACTCTGCTGTATGAGCATTTGCACCATCAGTTTAGCAAGCTGGCTTACCTCCAGTAGACACTCTTTGTTTTTCTCATTCATTCCCTTGCTTTCATTTTTTCCTTTGTTTGCCAGGTAGAAATTCTGATTAAAATACAAGGGATTGATATTGAACAAAAAAGACAACAAATATAAATGAACAGGTCACATCATTATTCAGCCTTTCTGTAGTGTGCACTGAGATGGTATGAGACACAGGTATTCTAGTATTGCTCTTCAAATCTCATTATAGGAAACCTTCACCAAACCTGCCTATGGATGTTTATATGTCAGGTTCTCAATCTAAAATTCATTTTGTCCACATACATACAACCTCCCTCTCCATCTCTTCGCTGAAAAAATGTGACCCAGTTCTTGATTTTGTTTGGCTGCTTCTCTGGGTCAGTGGGTTTGATTATATTTTTTTCATTTTGAATATCTCAGATTTCTAGAGTGGGGGGTTACAGACTGTAACTGATGATTATGCAGAAGATTAGTATATGATGAAGAAAAATGTAGTGCCAAGAAAAGAATGCATAATTTCCTAGCAATCAATTTTTATGGTGTATGTTTATTCAGAAATGGAGCTGTGCATGTGCTAGTTCTTTATTGTTGATTTCTCTAGATTTTAGAGAATTCCTTATTTTTACTCTCCTAAATTCAGCATCAAGAGTGTGGTGGGCTTTTTCTCCTTTCTCTTCCCCTCCCCCAAATCCACCAACAGTTTCCATTGATTTCAATGAGATTTATGTGCCCTAAAGTGTTCTGACATTCAAGTGACATACAGTATTTACATGCAAATTTATGCTGGAAATCAACCAAGGCCACAAGGTGGCATGGATCTGCTGTGTCTTGTGACTCTTTGGGTGATATTTGCCAGTTAAAGGAGGAACACTTTGTGATGATACAGGGCAATGCAACCAAATGCCACATATTTGCAAGCAGCTGATTGGAGACTTCTGCTACCCGGCAGTACAGGCAGCAATTGTGGAATCCAGCTTGACAATGTAACCACATTTTCTTTCTCAAGCACTTTTTTGTGCAGCTGCTTGGTGGGAGGGCAGGGCTTGTTCAAGTTGGTTTGTTTTTACAGGGCAACCTCAGGAGCAACACTTATTTAAAAAACGTGACCATAAAATGAACAATGTCAAGCAGGCAAACCTAAAAGCACCATCAGCCACTCTTCACCCAATGTTCCTGCCACAGTCCCAGCAATTCTCAAACTTAATGAAAGACACTTGAACATTCAAAACTGAGTTACTTTCTGCCAGAAACAAAATGGAGCACAGACTCAGGATTCCTAGCAGTACTAAAGACTAGACTGACTACTAGCTGCCTGAGTTCACGGCTAAATTATAGTCCATAATCCAGGGCTAAATTAAGGCAAAAATATGAGTCTAGGGCCACAGCTCCTTGAGTGCCATGACTACATTAGATTATCAGCTTTCATTTGGAAATATATGTTGTTCTAGCCCTCTTGGGTGTGAAGAAAGCCTGGTCCTGAAGGTAGATGATGCTGTGATGACTGCCTGAGTCTGCAGACAATCTGCAACAACAGATCTGATGAGGTGAAGTTCCACATTCATTTCAGTGCAGCTGCTAATCTGAAACCTCCTGCTCTGAGCAGAGATCTCAGAGATTCATTCTCTTGCTTTCACTTTTTCTTTTGTTTGCCAGGTAGAAATTCTGATTAAAATACAAAGGATTGGTATTGAACAAAAAAGACAACAAATATAAATGAACAGGTAACATCATTATTCAGCCTTTCTGTAGAGTGCACTGAGATGGTATGAGACACAGGTATTCTAGTATTGCTCTTCAAATCGCATTATAGGAAACCTTCACCAAAGCTGCCTATTGGTGTTTATATATCAGGTTCTCAATCTAAAATTCATTTTGTCCACATACATACAACCAGGGTTGGCCAGAGCCCCTGAGCACAACTGGGGAAACTTTGAAACGTATACAGGGAATCTAGCAGAACAAGTCATAGAATGATAGAATCCTAGGGCTAGAAGAAACCTCAGGAGGTCACTGAGTCCAGCCCCCTTACCAACGCAAGACCAACCCCAACTAAATCAACCCAGTCATGGCTTTGTCAAGCTGGGACTTAAAAACCTCTAAGGATGGAGATTCCATCACCTCCCTAGGTAACCCATTCCAGTACTTCACCAGCCTCCTAGTGAAATAGTTTTTCCTAATATCCAACCTAGACCTCCCCCACTGTAACTTGAGACCATTGCGGCTCAAGAGAAACTACATCAGCAGGATGGTGATAGAAATGTAGCTGTGTTAGTCTGGTGTAGCTGAAACAAAATACAGGACTATTGAAAGGGAATCCTCTGAACTGTCATTCATGCTAAAATTCGACACTCTACGCCTGGGTCTCAACAAAGACCCCGTTATCTTACCCATTACAAAGATAGCTTCCCCAATTATCACCTCTAATACCATTAGCTCACAGACATTTACCTCTCCCCCCCTCCCCCCCCGCACCTCCCTTCTGTTCTGAAATTTGATTTGTCCTTTTCATATGTGTTCATTTTTTTAAATTGTATCCTTTGGTATATATGGTTGTGACTATTTTCTTCCACTATTTGATCTCAGGAAGTGAATCTGGCCCACGAAAGCTCATCATCTAATAAACCATCTTGTTAGTCTTTAAAGTGCTACATAGTCCTGTATTTTGTTACATCAGCAGGGAATCTCGTTTTTGGCAATGCAGACAAGGCCTACGAATATACTAGAAAGGAAAGTCTCTAGTTCTTCTTGTATGTTTTTTTCTTGTCTCTGAAACTACAGATTTGTTTTTTTCATTCAGAACTGGCAGAACTAAGGCCAGTAAAACCTCTAGCAGACGTGTCAACTAGCCCACATCATTTTAAAATATTTTTAAATATTTTGCCACTATCATGTTACCTTACCTGAGGATTTTTGAACACAGCATATTTTTCCTTTTTTTCCAAAAACAAAACCTTATTTTCACTGTCCCGGGTCCAGTCTGATAAGACTTCAATAACATTTTCGTGGTCTTCAAAAAACCTTTCTAGAGAGACAAGGAAAGGCAGAGTAAGATAAACATACAGCAGACAGTCCTGACTCTGAATGTAACCACTCTCTGATGTTCTTTCAGAAACTTGGAGCCCTGCTGTCCCTTCCAGTGCAGACAAGGCAGCCGAGCCTCATGAAAATGGTGGGGTGTGAAAGGGCAAGGTAACTTTGTAGTGTGTAGCACTCTGGCATCCTGTTGGTGCTAGCTGCATATGTAGAGCACGGCTACTGTAGTTAGTACAGCTGCTCTGTGCAGAGTGTTCTCTAAGAGGCATGAAGGAAGTTGTGAAACTGAGAGTAGATTAATGCCTGCAGAGCCTGCATGAACTGGTCATGCCCTGAACAAGTCTTTTATCCGTTTCCAAAGCTCTGATTGCTGCCTTTGTCTTTCTACATCTCTGAACCAACGCTGCATGGAGTCATGCCAATGCTTTGCCACTGGAAGCACAATGGCACCCTTAGTCCTAGCAGCTAAGCCGGGATGTAGCACAACTTTGCAGGTTCCCCAGGAGCACTCTTGCTCTACTTTCAGTAGCCACTGGTGACCATATTCTTCAGACAACATAGACTGCATACTGTGGGAGATAAGGAAGCATATTCTGGTGGCTTTTTCTAGTGTTTTATACCCTTCTCACGCCCTTCTTCACTCTTTCAAGAGGAAGGGCACAATATAGACCATCAGTTCTGATGATTAAATAACTGCATGCTTTCAGATGTTACAGAGGATCAGTTGGGGAGCCTGTCTGAATGTACACAGTCGTTCTTTAGCAACTTAAAGCATTGTAATATGCTTCACTGAAAACATAAGCCAATGTATCCACACAGGTAAGCAACAGAAGGGTAAATTGTGCCCTAAAAGATATTAATGTAACTTATAAATTACTTCTAAAACAGCGGCCCTCGCAATAATCCCAGCATAAAAACAATATGGAAAAATATAGTCAATTCTGTACCAGGGTACAAATTTGTTATGTGGTTAAATTGCTCTGTTGCAAAATGTTGCACCACAGTAAAGCTCCAGAAAACCCTCATAAAACTTTGCAACTTGCAATGCATCTGAAAGAGTAGATCACCTGATTTACATATAGTCTTGCATAATAAAAAACACATGCACAGGACTCTACCAAAGATACTCTGATACAGAAATAGCCTGGACTTTTAGGCTACATCTACAACGCGAAGCTATTTCAGGATACCGGAAGTATCCCGAAATAGCTATTCCACATCTTTTGTTATTTTAAAATACAGTAAACTTCCGATAATCCGGCACCTTTAGGACCCAAGGGGTGCCAGATTATCAGATATGCTGGAGTACCGGAAGGGGGGCTATGAAGGATCTGGGGTGGGCAGGGAGGGGGGGTCGGTGGGGAACTGCGCAGCGTGGGAGAGGGCGGCACTGTGGGACCAGCCTGGCAGCACCCCAGCTGCTCTGCCCCCGGCTTCCCCAAGTCAGCCACTGCTTCCCCGCTGGTCAGTTTCTGCAGCGGCTGACTTGGGTAAGCCGGGGGCAGAGCAGCTGGGGTGCTCTGCCCCAGGGCTTCCTCAAGTCCACCGCTGCTGAAACTGACCAGTGGCTGACTTGGGGAAGCCGGGGGCAGAGCAGCTGGGGTGCTCTGCCCCAGGGCTTCCTCAAGTCCACCGCTGCTGAAACTGACCAGTGGCTGACTTGGGGAAGCCGGGGGCAGAGCAGCTGGGGTGCTCTGCCCCAGGGCTTCCTCAAGTCCACCGCTGCTGAAACTGACCAGTGGCTGACTTGGGGAAGCCGGGGGCAGAGCAGCTGGGGTGCTCTGCCCCAGGGCTTCCTCAAGTCCACCGCTGCTGAAACTGACCAGTGGTGGACTTGGGGAAGCTGGGGGCAGAGCAGTTCCAATTGTCCAGCAGGCTGGAGCACTTCTGGGTTCCAGTTGGTGCCGGATTATCAGGAGTGCCAGACCACTGGACGCCAGACAATTGGAGTTTTACTGTATAATGGGCTTGCTATTCCGACATCCCTGTAAACCTCATTCCACAAGGATTAAGGGACGTTTTGGAATAGCACTCTATTTTGAAATTTGGTGCTGTGTAGACAGTACCAAATTGTGAAATGAGCTATTTCAAAATTAACTCAAAATAAGCTACGCAATCTGTGTAGCTCAAATTGTGTAGCTTATTTCAAAATAAGGGTGCAGTGCAGACACACTTTTTGAATATCTACTCACTAATCTGTAGATATGCCAAAAAGGGAACCTGCCTGATTCACTCAGGGTACATCTACACTGTGAGCTAAAGTCGAGTTTAAGCTACGCAACTTCAGCTATCTTAATTGCATAGCTGAAGTCAAAGTAGCTTAACTCTGCTTTTGCCACTGTCTACACAGCAGGAAGTCAAAGGAAGAACAGTCTTCCTTCAACTTCCCTTACTCCTTGGCTATATCTACTCTGCTGGATTTGCCGGCAGTGAGTATGCAAACTAGGCACCGATTAGCATATTGCTGTGCTTCATTTGCATAATTCATGCAAGTCATTTTTGTGGGGAAAAAAAAGTGGTGTGGACATTTTCTTTTTGTGTAAAAACCCCTTTTCCTGCTGGATCCTTATGTCCCAAAAAGGAGGTTTACCGATATGGCAGGAAAAGGGGTTTTTGCGCAAAAAGAAAACGTCCACACTGCTTGTTTTTGCACAAAAACCCTAGCAAAAAAATGGATCAGCAGAAAATATACAAATGAGATTGTGACTCATGCAAATGAGTCTCCCATTAGCATATTTTTGCCAGAAAATTCATAGTGTAGATGTAGCCCTCATGAAATGAGGGTTACAGAAAGTTGGAGTAAGAGCCAGTTATTTCAAAATTATTTCGAAAAAACAGGCTTGCTGTGTAGTTGTGCACTCTGTTATTTTGAATTAACAAGAGTTATTTTGAAATAAGCATGCAGTGTAGACATAGTCCCAGAGTTTACTAAACCAAAGATGTTTCTATGAAACATTTTGGGTACAATGAAGCATCATTTTCTATTAAGTCTGTTGTACTCTGGTAAATCTGCTTAATAAGAATGTTAATGGTACTATTTTAATCCATTTAACAAATGTATAAGGGGAAATAGTAAACTTGCATTTTTAAACATTTGAAGAGAATCAATTAATTTTCTATAAATAAATGGTATATTTCATACCAGTGGAAACAGAAGACCTCCTGACATATATTGCTCCACCCAACCCAAAATATCCTTCTATACATGAATAAACTTTATATCCATCTCACTTGGTCCAAAAGATAGCAAATAATTTCTATTTCTGTAAAACATCCAACATCAACCACAATTTTTCTCCCTGTGTATTCCCCAATATTCTTGGCCTCTGGATATAAGGCAGGGGATTCAAAATAGCATTTAAGATCATACAAACACACAGGTAAATATGACGGTTCAAAGGTTGCAGAAGTTCAGGAAATAATTTGACCCTAAGTTGTCATTCAGTGTTCAGAGATTTCTGTGCCGGTTACACTGGACCAGAGAGAGTAACTTCCCAAAAGAAGGAAACACTCCAGAATTATCCAAAGTAACATCTGTGATGTTTCTTGTGCCATTTTCAGTCTCTTGTTAGTTAACAAAAGCAGGTACATGAGAAGGTGGCAGTATTGCTTCATGTATCATCTTAATAGGGTTGAAAGAGTGGATAGGCAATTACTGTATCTGCCATTCCCACCGGGAGATGAATATCTCCATGTTCAGAGGCACCCAGACTCTTTTCTAACTATTCGCCACAATTGATTTATAGCGCAGCAGAATAATTATTCCTGGGTCTTTTTTAGTACATGATGTTAACTTTCTTAGTACAAATATTATGGCCAGGTGATTGTAGACGTTTACCATTGTAGGGGCCATTTTCAGTTTGTAATTTTTCCAAGTCACTGCCACACAGGGAGGTCACAGCCACATTCCTTTCTTCATTAACACATTTAAAGCCTGGCCCCCAGACAGACATTTCTATCCTACTCAGTCCTCGAGGCCTCTCTGAAACTACACTGATGAAATAATACCAGTCAGCAGGCTGATTCCTACGGGTCTGAGGCCAGCTGTGGCAGGCATGTTACCATTTCGATGTGAGGCACTACCCACTACAGGCAACCTGTGACAAACTGGGGGGTTTATTCAGCTTGTTATGTGGCATGTGAGTTTTATTGTCCTATAGTAACCCAATGTTTGTGCCTCAGTTTCCTTGGGCACTGCACCAATACCTATATGGTGATGGGTATTTTGGGTGTGACTTCCACTGAGGGAGCTGTCCAGCCTCCCACACGTACACAATAGCCAATGCTCTTTGTAACCTGAGCCCGGAAGGGGGTGCAACCTGGTGACACCTTTTGCCTGGGAGCAGGACAAAGGCCAGAGGAGGAACCTGGCTGGGTCCAGGCTGCTGGGAGTGGGGCAGTCTTGGGGTGCAGGCAGGGAGTCAGCGGCCTCACTCTGTTGGCCCTCGCACAAGATGGATTGTACTGACTGCTTCTGGTTACTGTGCTGATGAGTCTGTTCTATGCAGTGTCAGTGTTGCCTAATAAACCTTTTTTTCTACTCGCTGGCTGAGAGTCACATCTGACTGCGGATGGGGGGTGACACAGCTCTGTTGAAGAGAAGGAGCATTATAGTGTACATGACCTGAACTTAAAGGCGCAGCGACTGGTGAAGCGTATCAGAAATGATTGACATACTGCTCAAAAACGTTTGCTTCATTACAGCACTAGCAGGCCCAAGTGAGATAACTGTGGCCAACAGCACTTCAACACTGTACTCTCTCTTTTAAGCCTGTTGCTGGCTTTTGTGTAATCATTCTCCTGGTTCATTTTCTGTGGGTAAATCTCAGTAATGAAAATGGCCCCTAAAGGGAGTCTCCCTGGTCTGCTGCAGTAAAGTGTGAGAGGCACATCCCCCAGAGTGATGTAGGTCCACCTACTGGGGCGACTGGTACTTTCTGCATCGCCCTGACAGCTGGCACTGCTCACGTCTTTACAATTCAGACAAACCTGCTTCAGCAGTGATGCCTCCAACACAGGGAGAGAGCCCGTACATGGGTACAGGGGCAGGGAAAACTTAGAAGTATAGTCTCACCTTTCATAATTATCAGTACCATAGAACTAACTTACTGTAAGGTCTTCTGTCTTATGAAACTTACCAATTTGTAGTTCTGGGTATATTTCATACAGGCACCAGTCCACTTTGCAATCACAGTGGGTTTTCTCAAAGAGGTTCTCTAAAACATCCCGTGCTATCTGTCGTTCATCCACCATCAGTGCTTTAGTACTGTTATCAGTCATGTGCACCTTGACGACAAGCTGAGTAAATCATCATAGAAGAGTCCGTTAATTTCAATAGAGAATAAAAAGCTAGTCTGATCAAAATTCCACTAAAACACATGAGGAAGATTAAGGCTGAAGGTCATTACTAATTCAAAGGCACCAGGTTCTACACTGAACTGAGAGAATGATACATCTTAAGAGCTTTTACATTCTGTTGGTGCCAAAGAAAAAGATCTGTTGTAAAAAAAAAAAAAAGGAAAAAAAAAGAAAGAAAATTAAACTTAGTATTGGGCGTAACTCAAGGAAAGGCAAAATCCTCCTCCTGGCTGAAATAGCAGTTGGATCAATCAGTTGAGCCAGATGATCTTCCAATCAGAACTCCTGTGGGGAGTGCTTTGGGTGGGGCAGTTTTAAGCCAGAGTTCATTTAACCCCTTCTTTTTAGAACAGAGAGAATTTTGTTTAAATTTTCCTTAAACTTCAGAGTATGACACGAATTACAGCACAGGTGGCATTTAGCAACAGAAAGATGATCAGAATTAGCTTTTAGAATACTCTGACTTTAAATATTTAATATCTTGCAAAAAATAATAGAAGCAAAATAAACTGTTTGCCCAAAGGCAGATAACTTACTAAACAGGAAATAGGGTAAGGGTATGTCTACACTACAGCATTATTTTGAAATATCTTATTTTGAAATAGCTAATTCAAAATAATCTATTTCAAAATAATGCATCTATACATAAAATGCAATTCGAAATAAAGTTTTTCTATTTCGAAATAGCGTGTCCACATTGAGTGGACTCTGAATCGAAATGAAAGCTGGTTGGAACCAGTTCAGGCAGGGCATCAGGTCAGGAGTGTCTTTGTGTGGCTGCTGCCTGAGGCTACCTGAGGCTTGTGCTTAAAGGGCTCTGGGGCTGGGGGAGAGGAGAGGAAGTTTTTCTGGTTGTGCCCAGAGTGGCCACCAGGGCACCCTGGGAAGAGTGGAGCCTCCCTATTTCGAAATAAGCATCTGTACAGCACTTATTTCGAATGATCTATTTCAAATTTGGCATTATTCCTCGTAGAATGAGGTTTACCAAATTTGAAATAAGCGCTCCACTATTTTGAATGTATTTCAAAATAGCGGTTTGCCTGTATAGATGCTATTAAAGTTAATTCAAAACAACGGCAATTATTTCGAATTAACTTTGAGGTATAGACATACCCTAAGATGAGCTAGGACAAACCTTTTTGTGAAGAAATCTCTGTGAGAAGATCTCGAGATTTACCCTAACATGTCCACTGGGGAAAATTTGCACATCTCGGTGATAGTTGTTTCAATGTAAATACCCCAAAACTCAAAGGAGACCTGCACCTTGTGTCCAGAGACCCTATAGGATCTGAACTCTTGGAGATTCCCCTCTCCTCATGCCTTACCTATCGTAAGGGTACAAAGCTGAGCACCTACACCTCCTGTTGAGTTCAACTGGAATTCAAGATGCTCCTGGGGGTCAGCCAGCCCCTTACTGTACTGCCTGTATCTAACAGTGCCATGAGAGCATTTAGCACTTCTAACTCCACTAACAGTACTTGAAGTAACCGGGCTAAATCCACACACCCTGCTTTGAAAAGATACAGATTAAAGCATTTGCTAATAGTTTTGGGTGATTGAATAATATTTGGTCACACATTACAATTCCTTAAAGCAGATTATAAGGATACTGAGGTTTATCCAGATCTTGGAACTCAGAGATATAACCTTCCTCAGTTCTGTCAGAGGTAGAGTGGAAGAATATTGTTCCTCCATTATTAGATGTAAAGACCAAGTATAAGATAGATCTAAAAGTACATTTTTAAATTTACAAAAAATAAAGGAAGAATACAAAGACTAACATTACAAATGATGTATTATAGAGAACTCTGACATATATACTCGACTGTATGGTAAATTAGAATTTCAATATTTTAAGTCCTACCTTTTTAACCTTGGCTTCCTTCAATTTTTCCAATGCAAGTTTAATTTTGTCAGCTTTTTCTTGTACCTCTAGCTCTTCCTGAAATAACAGAAAGATATTCAATAAAAATTGAGCAAAGTGCCATGGTTATATGCAAATAGCTGTTCATAATTATTGATACCAACATGACAAGGCCTATCAAGGAAAACGTCATTGCTGCCAGCTACAGGAAATCAATGGGCACTGATGGCTTAGCCTTTGTTTGCCCGAAGTTTAATTCCGATTCACAAGACAAAGGCTCCCCGATGTGCAACCATGGATCTCTTAGGGATAGTGAGAAGATTTGGGCAATGGCTCATAGATTGCTATAGAACCTGGAGACAGGTCTCCCCTATACTCACACAGGAGGGAATTATCATACAGCAGATGTGGCAGGAAGGTCTGGGGAAAAAAGTGTTTGCATACTGGGGGCAGGCTGGCTGTTGAATGACACAGCACTGTGGACTGTAGCATGGAATAACAAACCCAGTGCTGCTCAATTTTTAGGACTCAGGGTATGTCTACACTACCCTCCTAGTTCGAACTACCGTTACTCCTCATTCCACGAGGAGTAGCGGCAGTTCGAACTAGGAAGCCTAGTTCGAACTTACTAGTTCGAATGAAGGGCTGTGTAGCCCCTTAATTCGAACTAGGTAGTTCGAGCTAGGCTTCCTAGTTCGACCTACCGTTACTCCTCATTCCACGAGGAGTAGCGGCAGTTCGAACTAGGAAGCCTAGTTCGAACTTACTAGTTCGAATGAAGGGCTGTGTAGCCCCTTAATTCGAACTAGGTAGTTCGAGCTAGGCTTCCTAGTTCGACCTACCGTTACTCCTCATTCCACGAGGAGTAGCGGCAGTTCGAACTAGGAAGCCTAGTTCGAACTTACTAGTTCGAATGAAGGGCTGTGTAGCCCCTTAATTCGAACTAGGTAGTTCGAGCTAGGCTTCCTAGTTCGACCTACCGTTACTCCTCATTCCACGAGGAGTAGCGGCAGTTCGAACTAGGAAGCCTAGTTCGAACTTACTAGTTCGAATGAAGGGCTGTGTAGCCCCTTAATTCGAACTAGGTAGTTCGAGCTAGGCTTCCTAGTTCGACCTACCGTTACTCCTCATTCCACGAGGAGTAGCGGCAGTTCGAACTAGGAAGCCTAGTTCGAACTTACTAGTTCGAATGAAGGGCTGTGTAGCCCCTTAATTCGAACTAGGTAGTTCGAGCTAGGCTTCCTAGTTCGACCTACCGTTACTCCTCATTCCACGAGGAGTAGCGGCAGTTCGAACTAGGAAGCCTAGTTCGAACTTACTAGTTCGAATGAAGGGCTGTGTAGCCCCTTAATTCGAACTAGGTAGTTCGAGCTAGGCTTCCTAGTTCGACCTACCGTTACTCCTCATTCCACGAGGAGTAGCGGCAGTTCGAACTAGGAAGCCTAGTTCGAACTTACTAGTTCGAATGAAGGGCTGTGTAGCCCCTTAATTCGAACTAGGTAGTTCGAGCTAGGCTTCCTAGTTCGACCTACCGTTACTCCTCATTCCACGAGGAGTAGCGGCAGTTCGAACTAGGAAGCCTAGTTCGAACTTACTAGTTCGAATGAAGGGCTGTGTAGCCCCTTAATTCGAACTAGGTAGTTCGAGCTAGGCTTCCTAGTTCGACCTACCGTTACTCCTCATTCCACGAGGAGTAGCGGCAGTTCGAACTAGGAAGCCTAGTTCGAACTTACTAGTTCGAATGAAGGGCTGTGTAGCCCCTTAATTCGAACTAGGTAGTTCGAGCTAGGCTTCCTAGTTCGACCTACCGTTACTCCTCATTCCACGAGGAGTAGCGGCAGTTCGAACTAGGAAGCCTAGTTCGAACTTACTAGTTCGAATGAAGGGCTGTGTAGCCCCTTAATTCGAACTAGGTAGTTCGAGCTAGGCTTCCTAGTTCGACCTACCGTTACTCCTCATTCCACGAGGAGTAGCGGCAGTTCGAACTAGGAAGCCTAGTTCGAACTTACTAGTTCGAATGAAGGGCTGTGTAGCCCCTTAATTCGAACTAGGTAGTTCGAGCTAGGCTTCCTAGTTCGACCTACCGTTACTCCTCATTCCACGAGGAGTAGCGGCAGTTCGAACTAGGAAGCCTAGTTCGAACTTACTAGTTCGAATGAAGGGCTGTGTAGCCCCTTAATTCGAACTAGGTAGTTCGAGCTAGGCTTCCTAGTTCGACCTACCGTTACTCCTCATTCCACGAGGAGTAGCGGCAGTTCGAACTAGGAAGCCTAGTTCGAACTTACTAGTTCGAATGAAGGGCTGTGTAGCCCCTTAATTCGAACTAGGTAGTTCGAGCTAGGCTTCCTAGTTCGACCTACCGTTACTCCTCATTCCACGAGGAGTAGCGGCAGTTCGAACTAGGAAGCCTAGTTCGAACTTACTAGTTCGAATGAAGGGCTGTGTAGCCCCTTAATTCGAACTAGGTAGTTCGAGCTAGGCTTCCTAGTTCGACCTACCGTTACTCCTCATTCCACGAGGAGTAGCGGCAGTTCGAACTAGGAAGCCTAGTTCGAACTTACTAGTTCGAATGAAGGGCTGTGTAGCCCCTTAATTCGAACTAGGTAGTTCGAGCTAGGCTTCCTAGTTCGACCTGCCGTTACTCCTCGTGGAATGAGGAGTAACGGTAGTTCGAACTAGGCTTCCTAGTTCGAACTAGGAGGGTAGTGTAGACATACCCTCAGTCAATAAGCCTTTTTAGGATCATATTGACCACTTGGTTTACAAACATTTGTATTCTAAGTCAACTTTAATGTCTAGAAGTAATTGTTTTCCTTTGTGGTTGATGTAAAGATTGTTTGTGACTGTTTTTCTCTGACATGGGCCTCTCTTACCTCGGGAGTAGATTATTGTAATGTATCTTTATAAGAGCTACACTTAGGTTAGTGACAACCTGTGACTTCTGAGATCATGGTGGGATACTAATGCAATGCTGAGATCTCTGTCTGCCTCACGCTCATCTGCCAATTCCCCAAATTCAGGACTCTCCTCATCTTTTCCACACCTCCTATCTCTGGGAAGAGTCTCTGATTTTTGACTAGTTTGCACAGTCACTGGTGTAGGCTTGCCAGATGCTTTCACCAAAAATCCCAAACATGGCAGGAGAAAAAAACCCACAGGAGACCAAACTTATTCAACAAACAAACAAACAAACAAACAAACAAACAAACAAACAAACAAACAAACAAACAAACAAACAAACAAACAAACAAACAAACAAACAAACAAACAAACAAACAAACAAACAAACAAACAAACAAACAAACAAACAAACAAACAAACAAACAAACAAACAAACAAACAAACAAACAAACAAACAAACAAACAAACAAACAAACAAACAAACAAACAAACAAACAAACAAACAAACAAACAAACAAACAAACAAACAAACAAACAAACAAACAAACAAACAAACAAACAAACAAACAAACAAACAAACAAACAAACAAACAAACAAACAAACAAACAAACAAACAAACAAACAAACAAACAAACAAACAAACAAACAAACAAACAAACAAACAAACAAACAAACAAACAAACAAACAAACAAACAAACAAACAAACAAACAAACAAACAAACAAACAAACAAACAAACAAACAAACAAACAAACAAACAAACAAACAAACAAACAACTGGAGATGAAAGTTGTTGAGCAAAAAAAAAGGCTGCTGTGCCTTTCAGAATCCCCATGCTCCTCGCTTCCCCCTGCCCACATCGGATGCAGCAGGGGAACAATGTCCCCGCCAGCCTTCTGTCCAAGACAGCGGCCAGAAATAATGGATTGTCCGGGCAAAAACTGGACACCTGGCAACCCTACACTGGTGATCTTTTCCTACCTCCAAGACTCCTTTCTGAAGGTGTGGATTTTTGTTGATATGACAACTTTAACCAAATCCAGCTTCCAATCAGAAAACACTGGGAGGCAGTTTCTGTCTTAGTGCCACTGTTCCATATTAGAGTCTCGCTGCGCGCTACTCTTCTATCCCTTCCCACCTCTATTCTGGAGGTGTTGTTGCAAGTGGACTGCATTTACCTTAGTACTGCAGGGGTAAACTGGAATGGTGCACAAACTCATAAGAGTTGCCCCAATAAGAAGTACTCGGGCCTAATTTCCGTTGTTTGCACAGCACCTTCTTTTAGATTGATGTTATTTTACTATATTCTGTCATCTTGCTTTCTAAACATGTTTGTCTGGCAGCTTTCTCCTCTTGATATAGCATGATGCTTGCCTCTTAGGATATTAAGAATACAGGACAAAGCATGCAAGGTAAACATAAATGGCTCCACCTTCGAGTGTTGTGGTCATATTCTCAGCTAAGAATGTCAAAACAACAGTTCTTGAAGGTCTTCCACTCAGCAGGGAAGGGAATTTGCATTGCTACAAGCACTATAGGTCGGAGGTGGATTAGCTCTGATAATCCAAAAATAGCTTTTGTGGCTGCACAAAGAATGTTTGACAAAGTGAGATTTGATATTCTGCAGAAGAGGACTGTAGGCTCAGAATGCTTTCCCCATCGCAAACAGCTCTCTGCAGGAGGCACCAAAAATATCATAACCACAATAGTTCAGCTGAATAGCTCCAGCAGGTGTATAAACTAAATATTTTCAGTAGATGACCTGTACTGATCAAGACTCATAAAGTACAAATCTGTGCAACAGATTTCCCTCCTTACTGAAGAGCACTTAGTTATCCCAACTTTTGTCTTCATCCATTCGGATAGAAAAAAAACACAGTCAGAAAATAACCTATCAGCCTAAAAATAGTGGAACCATTGAAGAAAGTCAGTGACCCTCAAAAAGATTTGTATTTTCTACTTTAATCGCCAAGTTTCCGAAAGCTCAAAGAGAAACACAAACATCAACACAGAGAACACTAGCACAAAATGTAGAAATCTTAGGTCACGTCTCCACTTACTGGAGGATCGATGCTCTGGCGATCAATCTTCTGGGATTTGATTTAGTGAGTGTAGTAAAGACCCGCTAAATCAAATGCTGAGGGCACCAATGCGAGGAGTAAGGGAAGTCAATGGGAGCATTTGTCCCATTGAACCCCCACTGTGGAGACAGCACCAACCTTGACTTAAGATATGTTAACTCCAACTACGTTATTTAGGTAGCCGGAGTTGTGAACCTTATGCTAACATGGCCCCCGCAGTGTAGACCTGGTTTTACTGAGCTTAAGGACAGTCTTTAAAAAGAAATGTCAGAGCTGATGGAAAGTTTTGAGATTCAGATCAGTGCTTCTTTAAAATAAATGCTATATTTATTTATTTTGCTTTCACAGCTTTAAAGGTTACAGAATATGGCTCTAGCACTGCAAATATAATGATTGATAATTTAAGTCAATTTGACTAAAAGATACTGCGAAGGAGTGGAGAAAAGAGGGCCCAGCATTACAGGGGTTAAAGAAAGCCTTTGGGCCCAGCTAGCTCTACTGCGCTTTACCTGCAACCAATGCCAGGCTTCGAGGGAGGAAAAAAAGAAGGAGCCTGGCTCAGTTTAGGGCTGACTACATTGTTGAACTGGGCTCCTGCCTCTGGCAGCCATGGGAGTAAGTAAGCTCCAACCCCTCTAGGAAAAGGGAGGAATCTATTGAGAAGCCCCAACTAAGGTAAATATGGACTCTTGAGGCCATGCCCCAAACTGAAGGACTTGGATAGGAAGTGATTTGGAGTTCCTGGGCCAGGAACACAGTAGGAAAGGGACACAGTGCCCCCGCTTTTTTGCCTGCTTATTCAGCAATCTAGCCACCAGCCTACTCAGTTGCCAGGAACCCAGCCACAAATGGTGGAGAATGTGGGCATAGCCCTAGCCCTGCTGAAGGGACTTACCAAAGGAAAATAAAGAAAGAGAAGCTGGTGTGAGTCCAGCCCATGAATTGAGATAGAGCCCAGCAGCAGCAGCAGTAGCAACAGCACCAGCAGCTCTTACAGCAAGTGATCCAGCAACAGCTAAAGCTAACTGGTGAAATAGCAGCCCAATAAGAGCAGCTGATACAACAGGTGACCTCCATGCTGCAACCCATGACCCCAGCAGAGCTGCCTGCGCCTGCACTTGTGCCTTTACCTGCTCCCATCAAGTGCCAAAATGGGGCCTGCTCATGATCCAGAGGCTGTGGCTGTGGTAGCCTGATGGGTCTGAGAACATTAGGTGTCCACGCTGGCCCCATATCTGACTGAAATAACCCAGACTGCATACCACATGCTAGATGCCATCACGGTTCAGGGCAATGACCAGGTCAAGGCTGCAATCCTCAATGCCCTAGATATCTTGGAAGAGACGTTCCAATGTTGTTTCCAATGGGGAACAATGCCCACCAGGAACCCGACCCTGCCTCATCACCCAAACGCTTTAGAACATTTGCCAGAGATAGCTCCAGCCTGAGACAAAGATAGGGGCGCAAGTTGCTGAGCAAATTCTTCTCAAACAGTTTACCTAGATCCTATCTCTGGGCAAGATGAGCGAGGTGGTTGCCTTGGGTCCCGTGCATTCAGGGCCCTGAGGTGCCCAGCTCCTGGCCCCATCCACCGAGTCGCTCACTCGCTGCCTTGACTGGGAGCCATGGGGCCATGCAACTCAGCCATGCTGCCTTCGGCCTGAAAACTCTTTGACCGGGCCTGCCTCTGGGGGTAAGGATTGGATCATACAGAATCACCCTGATAGTGTGGCCACCACCATTCAACTGATTGAGAACTACTTGGCTGAGTTAAGGTCCCTTGAGAAATCTTATCAGAGAACAAAGTTTATGTCCCAAACGGTGCAGCAACTCTGCTGATTGCTGAAAATCAAAACTCTCCGAACATCCATATACCACTTCCAAACAGACAGAGTGCTAATAGAGTGCTTCAGTAGAACCCTAAAAACCAGGCTCTGTAAGTTTGTCCTGACTGATGTGCATCATTGAGACCAGCTCTTCCCATCCCTCATATTCACAGTCTGGGAGGCTACCCAGTCTTTCACGAGCGTCTCATCTTTTGAACTTTTGTACAGGAAGCAATCTCAAGGGGTTCTGGACCTAATTTGAGAGACGTGGGAGGAACAACCCTTCTGAACCAACAGAACCAAAAACGAGTCCACAGGCAGCTGATGCATCAAAACCAGGGGAAGTCCAGACTGGATCTAATTTCACTTCCAAACAGAAATGGCAAGCGCAACAACTACCTTCTCATCCATCTTTTTCTAAATCAGGCCAAACTCATCTGGCAGCCCATCTCATCCAGACAGAGCTAAGGATTAGAGTCCAGGAAAATCACCGGCCTAGCCCCTTCCTCAGAAGCTAAGAGAAACTGTGAAACAGGCACTCCAGTCAGTGCTTACCTGAGTGAGTGGTTCAGGAGGGGGAGGTGGTAGTGGGAGGTCAAAAACAGGATCTGGAGGTGGAGGGGGCAAGTCATCTTCAAAATGCCCAGTGACAACAGGGACATTTGATTTACAACCATAAGAAGCAGCAGCACAAACACCTGTTGAAGGCTGAGTGACTGCAGTTTGTGGGCATTGAGAAGAAGTATTCTTTGCTTGTAATGTCTTCTGTTCAACTTCACTTAGGTCTGCTACCAGATCAGCCATTAAAGCATCCAAGTCACTGTCCTCCAGCGTAATTAAAGATTCTGTGAAGAAATGACACCCCCCAAAAAAACCAAGCTCTTTAGAGAATGTGTGACATGACAAAATATCTGCACTCAGTTCAATGAAAACTAAATTATAGAAGATGTTAATTGTAGAGATTAAGGGAAAGGGGACAATTTTAAAGATGGAGACTCATTTAGGTTCTATGGAAATGCTGTATTTTGGGGGTAATAATTAACTTGATCATACTTTGGAATAGACTAGGTGGGAAATTTCCTTTCTAGAAGAACTGCATTAGTATCTTAGGTTTTGTCTACACTGGCACTTTTTTTGGTAAATTTTTTGTTGGTCAGGGGTCCTGCAAGGTGCTGAGCACTGTCTAATGCAAGAGAGTAGTTAAGCCCTTAAAGCAAGAGAGCAATTACACTGACGAAAATGGAACTTCTCGCCTCCTTAAAGTTAAGTATGTACATAGAGACTTTGATACAGCAGGTCCAGACTTTACAGCAGCACAGATGTAGTGGTATAGTAGTGCTGCTGTAAGGTAGTGCAAACATAGCCTTAGGTAGGACAGGAAGAATTAATATCTCTTACATTCATAGTGCTAAGGGCTCAATCCTGTAAAGTGCTCTGAAGTCTGGCTCTGATATGGCAAAGTTTTTCTACACACGCTAAACTTTAAGGATGTGAGAAGTTCCATTGACTTCAGTGGAAAAGTTAAGCAAGGACTTACAAACCATTTGCATCAGAGACCATGCTCAGCATCTTGCAGGACTGAGGTCTAAATCAGGTCTAAGCCCCTTAGAATCTGGTCTTGAAGCAGAAAAAGTGCTGTTTGTTCCACAGGATAGGGATTGGAGAGAGGAAGAGTGACAGGAGCCTGTGTGTGTATGGAGCTCCAGACTAGAGGGCCTACAGACAGCAGGCCCTCATGTAACGAAGCAGTCGGAAATTAGCCTGAAGCCTGGGAAGGGGAGAGCACTGACTTACAGAGCATGGTGTCAGGAAGGAATCAGCTGGAAGGACAAGCCGGAGAAAAACCTAGCATCCCTGTTGCCCAGAGCAGCACAGGCCCATGAGTTTGTGACTTTGCACTGGGATAAGGAGGGAGGCTGTTAGCAAATTAGGTGGGAGGTTGTTGCTCTATGTGGGTTTGCACAGAGTGACAGAAGGCCACAGAGGAGTTTCTTGGGAAAAAAGTTTTACTGGAGCCAAAGTTGACCAAGTGCACCCAAGACTCCCTGTGGGACTGGCACTCTGCCCAGGATTCCTGAACTCTGAGTCTAGACACCTTGTTCAGTGTCTATTCTTTTATATTGTGGTACCTCTGAGCTGCTGGGTCTTCATGTTGAATGTAACCCCTTTTTACTGGTCCCCTGATTTTCTCAGTGTGTTTTCCTCCATTCATACCTCTGTACATAAATATTTCCCTCTCCCATATTGGCTATACTATCCTGGAGTGGGTGTTTTTAGTCCAGCTCTGGGGTACAAAGCCATTTTCCTGCTATGTTTCTGCACCACCTTTTGTTAGCCAGAGCTGCCAGCAGAGCAGACTCCATCTTGACCACCAGGATGCTGGAATTACACTTTCAAGCCTGGACCCGGAGATGCAGTACACACAGCCCACCATTCTCCCTTTCTCCACAGCGCTCCCTCTGGACCAAACAGCATTTCCTTGTCCTGGAATAACCTCTGCCTCAAGACCAGGTTTTAAACGGACTGTTGTCCCTAAATCCATGTGGTTACACAGGTGTAAACCATCATTAGTGCAAGGAAGTCAAGCCATGAGGCTTTAAGATTTAAAAAAAAAATCTGAAACATCACATTCCTACTTACTACATTAGACATTGCCTGATAGGCATCAGTAACTTATCACCCGTAAAGTAATATGCAGGGCTCTGAGGTCCCCTTCAGTCAGAGCTTAAACCATGCAATTTCTTTATTAATATATTTTGCCAGAACAGATCTAAACATTCCACATTTATTATGTGTTTTCAACTCTGACACACTTAAAATGAGATAACTCTCTTAATGGAGTTTCTAGCTGAGTCAACAGCCCCTTCCTGTGATTGCCTAATGTAGGCCACAGTTAAATGAAATCTTGTAATGAGACATTAGGCAAAAAAGTCTAGTTGTAGCTAGTGCTAGAGCAGGGAGCAGCCAGCCCTATTCTGGAGAGAAGCCAAGCAGTTAGGTGCTAGGAATCAGCAAGGTCTGCTTAGCATCATGCTAAGTATGACTGGATGTGATTCCTGTGAGGGCTCCAGCCCCATGAGGATGGCTGGGACCAAGCAAGAGCTGAGAATACTTTCCCAAGGAGGCAGCAGAATGCTGCAAGAGGGCAAACAGGCCCTGCGGACCACCCTCTTTCCAGCCTGGTGAGGTCCTAATCCTTTAGCTACTGGAAGTCAGAGAGCCCCACAATCCCAGTCTGGAATAGAACTGTTGCTTTTGTCATTATTCCATATTTATTTTTGTCGGTACACTGAAGAATAGGCAGGGTCCCTACAAATGGAACTGAGTATTGCTAAGAATTTCTCCCAGGCTGGTCTACTATCAGGACCCAACTCAAGGAAAGCATTTAAGCATTTCTTGATCAGGGATGAATTTAAGCATATATTTAAGCATTTCCTGAAATGGGGTCTAAATTATTTCTAAGCAAATCCTATCTCTCTTTTAATAATTGAGACATTTTTGTGACATACACATTAAAGCAATATTCTAACCTATGTAGTTTCCAACATTCTCAAAGCTATCATCAATTCGTTTTATTAGCAATCTCTAAGGGAAAAAGGACAGATACCTATAAATACAGATCCCCTATAAAGCACAAATGGCATTACACTGTCATGTTTTCCATTCATGTATTCCATCTGTCAGGTTAATATTGCTACATTTTGTTTAAAGTGTCATTAAAACATTTAAATATGAAAGACATTAGGACATGCTTTCCAAAAGTGACTAGTGATTTCTATTTAGGTGTGTTCAACTTGCAACCTCTTCCCAGGTCTAACCTCCAGAAAATGCTGAATATCCCTACTCTGAAAATCAGGCCTCTTTAAGGCATATCAAATTGAGACAATCATTGGTTGCTTTTGCTAATTGTGTATATGTTTAGCTTTTTACTCCTCTATTTTTGTGGTATTTTTTAGATAGAAACAGTGTCTGAATGAGCTATCCCAACATCTTGGCTACGTCTAGACTACATGCCTCTGGCGACAGAGGCATGTAGATGAGGCTACCAGGCATAGGAAATTGAAGCGGCGATTTAAATAATCGCCGCTTCATTTAAATTTACATGGCTGCCGCGCTGACCCGATCAGCTGTTTGTCAGCTCAGCGCGGTAGTCTGGACGTGCGGGTGTCGACATCAAAGGCATTTGTCGACCACCCAGGTATACCTCCTGGAATGAGGTTTACCTGGGTGGTCGACAAATACCCTTGATGTCGCCATCCGCGTGTCCAGACTATCGCGCTGAGCCGACAAACAGCTGATCAGTGCGGCAGCCATGTAAATTTAAATGAAGCGGCGATTATTTAAATCGCCGCTTCAATTTCCTATGCCTGGTAGCCTCATCTACATGCCTCTGGCGACAGAGGCATGTAGTCTAGACGTAGCCCTTGTGATGAGTTACAGGGAAAGACTTTGCATAGACACGCCTACATGGCCTAGGTACGCAACATAATGAAGCTGCTTTGCCAAAATGATCACCTTTTGGCTGGTGTTGGGTTACAAATCACTTTAGTACAAGGGCAAAGAAATGTGGTCACTGTATGAGTGAAGGGAAGCAGAACTGTGCTTAGCCTGCCTGAATGAGAGAGGGTCACCCTAACCCAAACTCTAATACCTGCCAAATCCCAGCAAAGAGAGAGGTGATGGGGACTTGGATTTGTATCATATTGCAATGCTATGTAGGGGGTTGAGCTCTGCCCCAAGAGTTGTAGACACCCTTTGACCTTCCCCTCTCTAGCGTTTGGAGACAGAGCTAATCAGACTCATTTTAAATACACTGTTTCTGTATAGTAATTACTAGTGTTGGATTACTGTTAAGCAGGATTGGGCACTATACCTTAGTCCTGGTGTGGGTACAATAGTGAAAGGAAAGACAATGCAGAGGCTGTACTGGCAGTGAGGTTCCCTGCTATCCTGTGAAATCACTGAGGGTGTGTCTAGACTACAGAGTTTTGTCGACAAAAGTGGACTTTTGTCGACAAAACTATACCTGCGTCTACACTACCGCTGAGTTCTGTCGACATAACGTCGACAGAACTCAGCAGTTTTGTCGACGCTGGTAAACCTCATTTTAGGAGGCATAACGCCTTTTGTCGACAGAGTTTTGTCGACAGAAGGTGTTATTGCATCTAGGGTTTTGTCGACAAAAGCCTGTAGTCTAGACGTACCCTGAGAGCTGAATTCACTGAAGATCTGGTTTTAGCCGTGGAACCTCAAAACATGTCATTGCAAAGAGGCCAGAGGGTGTCCAACAATAACAGCACAAATTCGCCACCCGCAAAGGCTCATAGAGACCACAGAGATATTGCTAGACACCTCACATGTTGTGAACATGCCTCTGAACTCTAGGTCTTTGCTGATCAAAGACCAGCAACTGTGGAGGGGGGAGAAGAAGGGAGGGGAGGAAGAGTGATTTGCAAAGAAATTGCCCCATGTGCACTGGAGCTGAATTTCTGCTTATGGTAGAATACTTTTGAACATGGCTTGGGGTTTTCTCAAACTACCACTTAGTTCTCTTTTATTGAAAAGTTCTCTTTTGTTATATCCAGACTTAGTGGTTAGGAGAGGGGAAATAGTGCGTCTGAGAGGTGCCAACAGCTGGTGTCATATTTTCTCAGAACAGTGGCTAGGGGTTCAAGCTGGTTCTGTTTTGTACCATTAAGAGGAACTCCTGGATATGGAACTCCACCCTTGTTGCTGCCACTTCCACCCAGCAGAAGGGTGACATAAAAACATTACAGCAACCCTAAATAATCCTTTTACTCACTTACCATTTAAATCTGTAAAGCCAACTGTAAAGTTATACTCTTTATTAGATGCTTTGGGGGATGGAGGCTGGACGGTTTCCACTCCTAAACTCTGTTCAGATGGAACAAAAAGAAAGGAATTGATGATGTAATTATCATAAAGATACTAATATTTACAGAGCATGTTACACTGATAATTATTGTAACAAAGACAGTTCTTCCCTCAAGAAACAGAAACCCATATACTAGTGTGTTGGTCCTGTTTGCTCCATGATGTTTTATATGGATGAAAGGCTTCTCTTAATGTTAGTTTTTTATGAATTTGTGCAAAGCTGAAAAATTGAAACATGTAAGCTAAAAATGCCACTTCTGCATGACTATTCATGCTTACAAAAATAGAGAAAGTGTGAATAAGGGAAAGGAAGAAAATAACTACATGAAAGAATTTCACAGCCCAAATTAAAAGAAATTTAGGAAGGAGTTTATATATAAAATAGAGAAGACAAAAATGGCAACCATACTTACTTACTACTGGGTGATTTATGCTAATCACGTTTTTAACTGCTTTGCTATATTAGCGGTCAAATTTATATATTTATATCTATATTTATATAGTGCTAGCTAACTAGCTAGCTGTTCATTTTTTAATTTTTACAAAAGGAAATAAATTGGTATTTCATAATGAATATTGGAATATTAGAAACAGAAGTACAAGCATACAGTAAAAGTCAGACAAATCAAAGACAAAACAATGGAAATGTAGAAAAGTAGTTAAAAATTAAACAGGAAGAGACAATATAAATGAGAATCAGGCCCTTTCTCTTTAAGGCCTGTTTACACTGTGAATGTGCCATATCTATATCCATTTTCTGGTCCATTTACATTGCCACAGTGGTATATAGAGACATTAATATAAATGAGAATAAGACCTAAAGACAGTAATAAAAGGGAAGAAAAAATACAATTCAAAGAATAGTTTAGGAAAATAGAAAACTAGAAGAACCAGAAAAAAAATTCTAAATAAAGAGAAGGAAAATCAATAAATTATAAGGTAAAAAGTAATACAAAGCAAAGGTAATTTTTCTGTTATATTTCAATATTTTAATATAAAACTAATTACATTAAACGATCCTGTTCTCATTTATAACTGAAACTGTTAAAAAGTCAGAAAGCTAACAGAGGACCAGGTGTTGTGGTTTCAATTGCCAAGACTGTCGTAAATTAAATCACGTTCCCTCTTGTTTTCAAGATGCTTCAAGCAGAATTCCAATTTTATGTCACTAAATATTTGGTCTTGAATTTGGCAATGACTGGAACTCAATAATAAAGATTTCAGAAATAGAGGTTTTGGATAGGGTATCTCATGCAAAATTCAAGATGACAGTTTTAGTGTTTTAATTAAGTGTAACTTAATTTAAAACAAATGTCATGAGTATAACATTTTTGGACTATAAATCTTCCCTGAATCTTATCAGTGTTGGTGTAGGAAATCTTCCAAGGTCTTGGGTTTAGAAAGAGACTCAGTCTGTTTTTATAGTTCCTTCTAGAACATGTTCCATGTTGGTAATATTTCATATGCATATAGTCCCTACTGCCATCAATGTTCTATCATTCCATGAATCATGCTAGATGCTTCTCAAAGATTCAACAAATTATTTAAAATATTTTGTCTTCATTTCCATAGTTTATAGTTGATTCAGTTTACAATTTATAGTGGTGGAATCCTCACAATTGGAGGTTTGTAAAAACAGGTTGGACAAACCCCTGGCAGGTTTTCTTGGTCCTGCCACAGCACAGTGGGGGTAGGACTTGAGAACTTCTTGAGGTTCCTCCTAGCCCTACAATTCTATGATTCAGTTGGCTACCATTCATTTAAACATGTACACTAAATATTCATCCAAGGTGATTCAGATCCAAACTCGTTGTTTCCATAGCAGAATGTTTGGACATCCTGAGGCTGTGTCTACTAGGAATCTGGATTTACTTTTTGAAAAAGGCCTCTCTCTAAGAAGCTACAGGACCACTTGTTTTTTAAGTTTTTTCTCTGATATCATGTTAGAGCAGTTTCATGTTCTAGCGTACTGTAATGTCATTTTTGTTGTGCAGGCAACATGATTTAGATGCCAAACAGAAAAATCAGTTTGAAGTCACTCTCAAAAGGCTATCTGTATTTACTCAGTAGGAAGGTGCAATGGATAGTTGTAGAGGAGTAAGAAAGGTAAGGAATTCTCCTTGTTTCCCTCCAAAAGGGCACGTGTACAGAGCAAGGCAAAAGTTGAATTAAGATATGCTACCTCAATTGTATAGCTGAAGTTGAAATAGCTTAATTTGGCTTTTGGCGCTGTCTACACTACAGCAAGTCTGAGGAAGAACACTGTTCCTTGGACTTCCCTTACTCCTTGTGAAATTAGTTTACAGGAGTCAGAGTAAGAAGTCTTCCATCTCAACATTATTTCATGGCTTGCTGTGCAGACACGCACTTTGTTACTTTGAAATAACATCAGTTATTCTGAAATAACGCTGCTGTGTAGACATAACCTTATGGTAAGTTTCTTATCTCTTTGTTTTCAAACAGATTACTTACCTGTGTTAGCAGGTCCATTTCCCCCAGTAAATTGCTGAACATTTCATCTATATCATCACATGCCTGCTCCATCTGACAAGAAATAAACCCATGGATAAGATCATCAGCATTAGTCTGTTTAAAACTTTGGAAGCAATTCTATAAACACAGGAGAAAACCAACTTCATCTAGTTCATTTCTTACCAAACCTTCCAATTCATATTGAAAGAAACAGTTTCTGATTTAGGCTAATTTAGCAGATAAATCTTTGCATAATTTAGAAATAATTGATAACAAATTAGCTCTCTGGTCCTGTCCATGCTTAAGCACATGCTTAATTTTATACTCTTGAGTAGGTCCATAAGTCTTGGTCCTCAATGTATAAAAGTCACCAGGTAATAAATCTGCACCTTAAACAACTAAAACTGAGTAGAGAGAAAAGGAGAGAAACTAAAAATACGAGGCTGACAAATTCCTGAACAGTCAATGTGAAGGTTTCAGTACTTGGCTTAAGGTATTAGGGTATGTCTACACTACAATGTTAGTTCGAACTAACGGACGTTAGTTCGAACTAACATTCATAGCCGCTACACTAGCGCTCCGCTAGTTCGAATTTGAATCGAACTAGCGGAGCGCTTAGTTCGAACTAGGAAAACCTCATTTTACGAGGATTAAGCCTAGTTCGAACTTACTAGTTCGAATTAAGGGGTGTGTAGCCTCTTAATTCGAACTAGTGGGAGGCTAGCCCTCCCAGGTTTCCCTGGTGGCCACTCTGGCCAACACCAGGGAAACTCTATGCCCCCCTCCCGGCCCCGGCCCCCTTAAAGGCGCACGAACCTGCCAGCACCCAGCCAGCAGACCCTGCACCTGGCACGGCACAGAGCCACCCAACCGATGTCCCCCAGCCCACCCCCTCTTCCCGGGACCAGGCTGGCGGCTCCCGTGAGCTTGCCCTGGACCGCAAGAGGCGGGCACCTTCCTGGGCTAGTGCGGACATCGTGGACCTCGTCCACTATCTCCGCACTAGGCACAGGAAAGTGGCCGTCTAGGGCAGGAGAGCTGCCAGCCTGGCCA